GGGATAGAGAAGACACTAGTTTATTCAGCTGGTATTATTATTGCCAAAAATACCCAGTATATTTCATTTTAAAGTTTTGTAAGGTATTTTTAATAGCCTTTAGACCACAAAATTTCTGCTCAATGTTTACATAAGTCCTTATTGTTAAAAAGAAGAAACTCACTTTTGAATCATTAGTTCCTGGTTCTCCTTTTTGAAATAAGCCAGTTCATTCCATACAGCATCAGAATCTTCTTGTTGAAGTTGGTGGGGTTCTGCTCTCTGTATTTTTCTTGTATCTATCCTATTTTTAAAACAGAATTGTTTTATTCCTAACTTGTATATTATTTAAAATTTACAAATATCTATGTAGCAATTTTGTCCATTTTTTAATTGAGGCTCACTACTATAGATGAATTTCTTAAAACCTAAGCATACAGAAATTAAAATGCTGTATCATAATTTTCTAAAGCTAAGTTGCTACCATAGAAAATAAACTTTTAGGCAGATGTATGAAATTTTTAGGATTCTCTCATTTGACCTATAACAATAGCGATAAAACATAGCTTACAGGATTATAACATTCTCCAAAAAGACTAGATGCAATCAACTAACTGCCACCCAATCTAAACGTGGTACAGAAGCTCTACCTTAGAGCACATTATTGCTTCTTAATTATGTCAGAAAATACATTGCACTTTTGCAGCGATTACTTTTGCAGCGAAGTTAGGAGAGTAGAGGCTAAGGCTAGGACAGGTTGTTACCATTGCTTTGCCGACATATAATGCGAAGTGCTTTCCATTCATCAAAGGAAAAAAAAAACTGTGTGACAACTGTCTGTATCTTCAAGTGATGCCAATGCCCTTTACATTTTCATCTTCTGTACATAAAAAACCTCATTTTTATTTTTTAAAAGTGCTGTACTGGCCCACTTAGAAACAGTATTTCTCTACAGAGCAGACCAATGTGTATAATCAATATTGCCCTAAAGGATCCATCCTGAAAGATGAGAGTGTAGTAGATTTTCTGCACTCATTCAGTCCTTTGCCCTTTGTTGATACTGTTAACAAGGGAGCCACTTACGACTAACCAAGATCTGAACACCTGTTCAGAGCAAATGAACTGAGACCGCAATTCATTCAGATAAGCTGGAAAACAAACTGATGGATAGTAAAGATCTTCAAATTGCATACTAGGTTGAAATAGATTTAAGACCGTTAACTACATATGTGACTTTCACTTTTCTCTTGCTTTTCAGTTAAAGTACAAACACCTTTCAGTTATAAACATTTAAACTTAAGAACTGTATTTATTTAAAAGCAGTTTTTCCATCATACAAATATCAGATAATTATGCTTTAAAATACGTACTTTTAGTAAGCTATCCCATTGAGAGTAAAACTGTACAACAATTCATTCTCACGTATGCTAATGACATCTGTAAATCATAGTATAATCTATAGTTAGGACTAGCACACTTTGCTAGTTTTGTTAGTGATATTTACCTTTTAAAAATTCATAGTAAAATCTGAATACCAAATAATTTCTTTAATCCTAAACAAAAGCCATTAAAACACCTATATCCTGTTACTCCATTCCATTTAATATTTGGGGAAACGTCTTTATGAGCAATGTGACTCACATGCCACTGCCTTCTTCCCACTGCTTTAATTGCTCTTTTACTGCTCTGTAGTTGGTCTGTAACATCTGTAGCCTCTCTCTGCGCTTTTCATGGGCATGTCTTAGCTCATCATTTTCTTGGCTCTATAGAAAAAAAGCAAGTATATACTTTTGAAGAAAGTACAATATTGATATAACATTTCAAATACAAAGTTACCCATCTAAATAAGAAATCTGAAAAAATAGAACAAAATATGAAAGCATGTGTAACATGTATACAATCCATAGAAAGGAAAGATTCCTCAAGTACCAGAGCAAATTTCCTTGATAAATTCAACCCATTTTTAAAAAGCTGCTTACACTATTTCAAACTGTTGCTATTTTAGCTTCATTCCTGTTAATTCTATACAAATATTCATAATCCTAATGATTTTCAACTTTTTTCCTTTTTCAACAACACCAGATTTGTCCATTTATAAAGAATAATTGATTTTTTTAAATGTAAGGCTGTAAACCATAGTGAGACAAATCTTTCACGCTGTGGATTTATGACTAATATACAAGGAATCAAAAAGACTTCATAGAAGGAATAAATCACAGATCAATGTGAAAAGCAGCCAAACTTTACCTTTAGAAGTTCAACTATGAAGAACTGATAAAGGTTTAATACTATATCCTTAAAGAAGTCATATAATACAACGTCAAATATATTTTTGCTATCTCAACAGTTATGTTGAAAAATTATTTTTGATCACTTCTAAGTATACAGCACATGAGGTAGATTTTCATTAGATGTAACCGTAACAAATTTACCAAGGCCAAATTCATAATCTCAAGAGATCTAGTTATATTAGTTAGGAACTGTTTCTCTACATAAAATTAGTAATTTTGTGACTTTTTTTTCCTACCGTGACACTCTCTATTTAAAAAAAAAATTATTCACACTTCTATAGCCATACTTATATGCTTATTTTCTGGGAGAAATACACACTTTCTGAGCATATAAGCCTAGTCTTGATAGTGGCATACACTTAACAAAACTCTTTAAATTACTTCAATTTATTCTCCAGTAAAATATAAGGAGAAAAAACAATGGGTAAAACGGAGAGGGTCTGGCATTGTACCTGACCTATAGAAGCATCTACAGGGTCTCACCACACAGATGGAACTTATAGTGATCCTCCTGTTTTCAGCCTCCCAAGTGATAGAATTACAGGCATGTGCCACCACACCCTGTCTCAGTCCCTGTCTCAACATGATGAGGGCTGGGTCCAGCAGGGCACACCGGGGATCGAACCTCAGTTCCTGAGTCTGCCTAGGCAGGTGCTTTAATCTGCTGAGCTATCTGACCAGCCTTTAGAAAAATACAGTTTTTCACTCTCTGCTTCCTTGGTACTAACAGGGATGCCTATAAGTTTAAATACTGTTTTCTTGACTACTTACCTCACATCTGACTAGTAAAATAACACCCTATAGAGTACATGTTCTACCCTATTTCTATCTGTCTCACCAGTATAGGTATTTGAGCATTCTATTTTGACTCTATTTCTACTAAAATTCTCAAGTAGTTATTAGGGGGGGGGGGCTTGCAGGTTAGCTCAGTTGTTTAAGTGCATGCTCTGGCAAACCGAGTCAGGCGCAAGGGAGCATGGTTCGAGCACCAGCTCCATGTGCCTTACCAGACATGCCCTCAAGGCAGCCTGAGCCAGGCCAAAAAAATAAAATATAAAATAATAATAATCCTTCTGAACTTTTCAGGGCTGACCAGATAGCTCAATGGATTAAAGCACCTGCTTAGACAGACACAGGGACTGGCCCCGGCCTAGCCCCCAGGGGCGCAATTGAGGGCCTGTAATCTCAGTGCTCGGGAGGCTGAAAACAGGAGGATCACTATGAGTCTGATCTGTGTAGTGAGACCCTGCAGACCTTGTGCTAAATACATAAAAAAATTAATAATAATCAAGTAGTTATTAGGATGTATTTGAGTCTTAGTGTGCTTAAAAAAGTCTATATGTCACATGGGAATCAACATGCTTGATGAAAAAACATGAGAAAGGCATAACTAGAGAGAGGCATTCAGAGTAAACGTCACACTTAAGAATTTTCAAAGATATGCAAAATCACAGCAGCAACAGAATTACTAAAAATAATATGGTTAAATTTATGAAGTTGAAATAAAAATTAGAAAATTCAGGTTCAATTTTTTTCATCTCAACTGAAAAACCATGTAAAAAGAAATATAAGCTGTTATTAAAAAGTGCAAATCTTAGTGTCCAGTTAATATATTTTATTTTGAAAAGGCTATTTAAATTCAGTGTTCGGTTTCTCTATCATCAAAACAGAACATATTTATATCTCTCTACTTAAGGGATAAAGAATGACTTGAACTTAAACTTGAATTTTTCATATTGTTTGGTAAACAATCTAAACATTACTTCTTTTTTTTTTAACTATGAAGGGTCTAATTTTAAGTGTGTGAAATAAATAAATAATTTAGGGGCAGCCAAATAGCTCCATGGATTAAATCACCTGCAAGCAGGCACAGGGGCAGGTGGTTTGATCCCCAGGGCATGCTGAGATGGCAATTGAGACTGGGTGTGGTGGCATGTGCCTGTAATTCCAGCTCTTTGGAGGCTGTAAACAGGTAGATCACTAGGAGT